TCGCTCGTGTTCGTTTTGAATTAAAAAAATGATACGCATCCACTTGCATATTTTGCGATGCGACATCGACGTGACCGCGACGTGATCGTATACATATATATCAGCTTTTATCCTTAGATCGCAGAGAAAATAATACACTGACATTTTCCAAAACACAAATGTATTCTTTGACATTTTTTTCTCTAAGGAAATATTCTCCTCAAATTACTTTCGTCGCGATAAAAAAAAATCTCTTGATTCAAAAGTAGATTTGCGATATGAAGGAACAGAGGAGGGTGTCCTTGTCTCTTTCCGAACAGGCATCCTTTCATTCTGCCAGCTCGATATCGTTTTTGGCCAATGCTCCAAACGCGCAACGACGTCATTCACTGAATGAGTTTGCTACGTCGTCTTTGTAACGCGATTCTAATTTGCGACGGTAACGATCTCACTGCTGCGCTTGTAACCGGAGTCGGAAATTATACTGACGTTTAGCTTTGCGCCTTAATGAGTAGCGCGTTCTTCGAAGAGGTGGTCATCGGACGATGTACTTCGTGGACCTAAGTATCTAACATAAATGGTAATGTAAATTGACTCAAGTAGTATTACTCATTGAGTTAGAAGATTTCGCTCTTTTTCGTACTTATATTCATTCGACGATGCGTTTATTATTATATTTGGTTTACAACGTAAGATGCGAACATTCTCAGAAAAATATACATGTTAATCTTTATTCAATTTGCGTATCTTTGTTCTTATAAATACAAAAAAAAGATCATTTGACATTTACTCTCTCTTTTAATTTATTAAAGTTATCGTAGAAAATATATATTTCTCATCTACCAAAGTGATCATAAAATAAAACATGTCTTTTCCTTGATTTGAAAAGAAAATGTTCGAACATAAAAATATCTATTTTTTTAATTAAGTTTTATGTAATTGTTTGCATTCTATGAAGTTTGATGTTGATCATATTTTTCTGATTGTCTTGTTTATTCGAATAGAAACACGATCACATATGAACAATTTCGCATAAAATATATGAAGATAGTGACGAAGTAACAATCAGAAATGAAACAATAACATTTACCCCGTTGACGTAATATGAGAAAAAGTGTCGCTCATTTTTAATTAAAGCCGGCTGCACGTACACGGAGCTGCGGACGTCCCGGAAAAGCGAAACGAGAGGAAAAACGAGCACGTCCGTCCGAGTGCAAGCATATAGAGAGTCTCGTTTGCCGGTCACGAACGGCATTCTCATGTCGGATGCTATTATAGTAAAGAATAAAAGTGGATGGAAATACCAAGAAATGACGATAGGCATGCGTTGCATGCACTCCGAACCTCCGGTATTGCGCAGCGCCATGTTCACTTCCTCCGAGGCTTTCCATCGACGATTGAAAATGTATCGAAGAATACGATGCTCTACAGTACAAGTACAGCTGGATAGCGATCTTGAATTATTACAATGCCTCGAAATCACGTTCGTACATAAATCAGATCCTTCGCGCAGAAAACCTGAGAAAAGCCCCGCACACCAGTTTAACTCTTTTTATTACGAGCCATATGATAGTTTTTATCATATGCTTACTACGTACGAAGAGTAATTTTTAATGTGTTTTTTTTATTGCCAATTTTATGGTATTACATTTTGTACAATATGTTAATAGTACTCTTATAACAAGTTGTCGCATTCCATTCTCATCCGTCGTTGTGCAAATGTTGGATGACCTAGATGCGTCGACATCTGCCGGTCACCGATTTTATCTTCTTTTGTTGTAGCTATATAGTTAGATACCTATTGCTTCTTGAGATATATTGTATACTTCGGATACACTCGCGATGATACTTTTCGTTGAAAAGGTTGTCGAATTAATACATAATGGCCGCGATTGATGTTGAAACCGCGCGTTATCCAGTGCTCGTAAGAGGCAGGGAGGATCAACGGAAAAACGTGCAGTATGATTGCATATATGCGCGAGAACATAATGTAGTACGAAGCCGAGCGTATATAGATACATCGCGTCCGCTTGGAGAATCTCGATACCGATATTATGTGGCGTACCTTGCGTTTAACTTGATAAATGAAGGCGGATCGGCGAGTGTCGTCACGCGACCTACTATCACTCTCATGCACTTTTTTCCTATCAGTAGTTTGGTAACTGACTGATTTTCCAACTAGGAGAAAGAATGGAGAGTGTAACGGTTGTGGATGGGAGATAGGAGGTAATGGAGAAAGAGTCCACTCCAGCCGGAGGGCCGAGGGTCGCTATCTTTTTTATCCGGGAAATAAGGGTCTAGAGACAGGGACTTGATTATCTAGTTGACGACGACAGCGACGTCGACAAGAGGCGTTCTTACGCGTGATCGAGCTATTGTATTACTGATCGTTGAAAACTTTTTTAATCACGTTCTTCCGTTGTCGATACTAGGGATTGCTCGTCTTTCGTACTCACGCGCACGCACACGTGCTTTCAGCTCAAGGCGTTTACCTACACTTTTTTCATTCATTATTCATATTTTTCCACTACCATTTACTCCCGTTCGCGTTCGCGACAGCTCCAAGTTTTATTAATAGTTACGAACCCAACATCGTCGACGGTAGCGAAACGCGATCATACTGAATTATGCGGTGTGCCGAACAAGAAGTCGTTTACGAGTTCCTAAATATATTTTAAATCGGTCACCGACTATAATAGCTATTTGCGCGCATCTCGATTGGAAGTAGTTGTCAATAAATGAGAGATATCTAAATGTCTTCTCATTTCTATCCGTTTGAAAAGCTAGATAGAATCAAAGAATTATATAAGAAATTTTGCGAGATTACTTTTTAAAGTTTTTTAACGAATGATGCATTTTTGTGACATGTATACGGAAATAATTTCATTAACATAAGTTATGTAAATTTTTGCAAGATTTTTTTTTAATAATTTCAAATATATATGTCTAAATGGAAAATGTGAATTTTATATATTTTTATATATAATTTTATCTCAGCATTTCAATACGATTTAAGAATGGAAGCATGAAAGAAAATAATGAACAATGAATCCTTTCGTAACGACTTTGTTTCAACGAGAAGTAGACAAAGTACCTGCAATGTAAGAAACAAATGGGACAGCAATAGCGCAAGCAAGAATTATGAGTTACGCTGAGAGCGTCGCAGAAATTCGATATTATACTCGAAGCTTCTCGTACCACTCGTAAAGACAAATAGAGAGTTGTTGAAAAAAGAAAATTGCGACAACTAATTGAATTGAACGTATCTCGTATCTTTCGCGTACACTTGATCGATTAGGACGATGCGTTCTCGTTGCTACTCTCATCGCGTACACCATTCTTGCGCTCACGTGCACGCTATATATACGGATTGCACGCACGACCGACTTTTTTTCATTATCTTCTGTCTTCTACGGGAAATGCTCTCCCGAGAAGTAGGAAAATAAATTTACTTGATATCTCGCGATTTATTTTTTTCTTTTCCTTTGTCAACACGGATGGAGATTGTATTTGTAGGATTGCATAAACAATGCAAACACATACATGAAGAAAGATTCTGCATATTTGAATTAATTAAGAGGATTTCATTTTAATCCCGTACTGTAAAATATTTTCATCTGACGTTTTGTGCATGTTGTTTTATTTCTATTAATTCTGGCAGAAAGAAGTGCGTTTACGAAATTTAATTTGTTTTATATGACAAAGAATATGATCGTTAGTCGAAATCTCGAAATCTTGCTAAAGGTATCGCTGTGGATTAATTCCATTAATATTAATATATCTTGCAAAATCCTTTTATGCATGTTATCACATAAATATGTTTTGCTTTGTAATATAAAAGATTCTGTTCTTCCTCGAAATTTTGAAACGCATCAAATAACGCGATTGAATTTAATACAAATATCATTATACGATGAATCTCGCTTTGTCTCTGCACCTTTTGAGGTAACTGTCGGAACAGAAGAGTAATTACTGCTGAATCTCATAACGCGCAATTTCTATTTCGCGTAAGCTAATTGCGCCGCTTTACGTCGACTTAACGACGTTCTTTGATTGTCAAGTAGCGGGATAGTGTTTAGTCGAGACAAATTCAAGAAATAGGTAATCTGAAAATCGCTATCTGTCGTCGATCGATAGTCGCGTGTTGTACAAGTTTTATCGCTCACTAATTTATTTTAAAATGCGGTAAAAAAAAAACAGTAAGAAAAGAACCGCGAGATCCGATTACGCGGTAATCGCCTCCGCAATATCTTCCGGCGTAGAAATTTGAGATTTTGCCGTTCGCTCTTTAGTGGCCGGAATAGTGCGGCGTCAATATTGGAACACGAGACTGACTCTGGAGGATCTCGACAAAAGGTTCCTTGTGCATGCAGCCAAGGAAGAATCGATGTATCGCGGTATACAGAGGTATACACACTGGTCGCAGTAACCGATGATCACACAGGCGCGAATTTCGAAGCGTATACTTGGTCAAAGCCGCTGTTGCATGGCAACGATTCGTTCTCTCCGATTCTCTCGTCCTCAATGCACTCGCCACGCGCTGCTAGTCTTGTCAGCTGAGAAAGTCCATGAGATTTGGCAGACGTTTTGAGTTTATTCGAAACGATTATCTTGAATAAAGAGGAAAGAAAAACAAGCACTGCTTGTCGGCGATGATTCAGTATTCTCTTCTCCATATTCTCAATCTTTTTGCCTGAACATGTTATACATTTTACCTTTCATTATTTACGGTGTGTACAAGATGTCTCAAAAGATTCACGTTTTTCTCAAACTATAAGTATTTGCACTCATAAAAGAGTTGTCTGAAAAGAGAATCGATTGTATTTCGAAGATCTCTAAGTTGTGAACGATTCGGAATTCGATATCTTGGACGAAATACAAAATGAGTCAAGCGAAAGTTACGTTCCAATGTTTCCAAGAATTTGAAGAGAATTTTAAATTAAGGATTATTAGAGGGTTATCAGAATGTTTAAACGAATTTGATGTGGAAACGCGTGATTTCGGCGACATCTTGTATATAATAATAATTTCAATTGCACTTTATTCAGTTTTATTCATGAATGTAGAATTATGTTTTAGTCAACGAATAATGATACTTATCCATGTTTTCGGTCGAATTTATGATTTTATTTATGAATAAGCAACCTATTGTTATAATAAAACCGATTGTTCATCGATGGTTATTACATATAGGAATTTCATGATTTCTCTTACATATATTATTGTATATTTGCAATTCCGAATCGCGCGCGATCTCATTGTTAAAAGCATCATCCTGTAGTGGTTACGCTTTCGGACACGTCGTCATCTCGTTGTCGCTCGGTTGCATCGACAAACGGCGCGTCGTTGCGAAAGAGTTCATCGTTCCGGTGCACAGTCAAAAGCGTCTCTGTCGTCGGATGCACATCGTCGCACGTATCTCGCTGTGGCTTCCATGACACTTGGGCAATGTTCGCACAACTCGTGACGGAAATACCTCTCTCTCTCTCTCTCTCTCTCTCTCTCTCTCTCTCTCTCTCTCTCTCTCTCTCTCTCTCTCTCTCTTATTCTCTTTCATGCATTCACTCGTTCTTTCATTCACTCTCTTTTTCTTCGCTTTCTGGAAAATGCATTCTGATTTCTCCTTTCGAAAATGCGCGATGGAATGGAGCAATTAGTAAAGTAGCAGACACAGGCAGAGCAAAAGAGAGTACAGCCTCGGTTGTTTGGCCTGACCGCCGTGCTGCATTGCCGCGGGATACTCTCCTGAAACAGAGGGCAACACTTAAATTTTCTGAAGACCCGCGGCGCTTGGCATTCTCGCTCGCTCGTTTTCTATTCTTCTCTTCTCTTTTCCTTTTTTACATTGTCTTTTTTGTTGTCCAGCCGAAATGGAATTTAGCTAATTATTTCTCGTAATTGGCGTGGTTTCTCTTTGGTAAAATGCATTCTTTCATTCTAAAAAGAGAATTTGTCAATCCTAGATGAGTCACGTGACTATAAAAACAGTCTTAGAGAGATTTATCTAATTAATATTTTGTGTAAATATAATACACATATATACGATAAACCATATACAAAAAAATAGTCATCATTGGCGTAAAATAGCTTACGCCAATGATGAATTAACGATAATTATAGTAGTCACGTTAATAATAAAAAATTTGCAACATTATACAACAATTGGCACAAGATATTAACGAAAAATCATACAAATTGGTCAAATAAAAGAAACAGAGACAAAAATATTTCTTAATAAATCTGTAGCACTACATTCGTCATAAAATTTACGTAAGATTTCTCAGAAGTTTATTTCAATATTATTCGATGTTCTTTTTAATGTACACGATCGTTGTCACGAGCTGACAAGAAGCTGGCGTATCGTCCTCGTATCATCGATTACTCACCGTTGAGTACGTGTACAGTGATCGATTTCGGTTGAGCATTACTGGGGTTACATGTGTACCGTCCCGAGTCCGACGGCTTCGCTTCTTGTACCAAGAGGAAACTCGTCGTGCTGTCACCCTTCTCCGTAACCACGGAGACGCCGCCTCTGCTCGAGTCGTAGCTGATTATCTGGAACAGAGATCGGGCGATCGTTCTTAGACAAGGTGGTGGTCTCTCCGAGTGGATGAGAATTAAGTTGCGGTGAGGATGGAATCGATGAGAAATCGCTAGCCAATGTCGGATACAATTTTTATTAGGCAGCTCCAATGAGTCCACTGACATGAAGACGACAAGCTCGTAGAAGGACTCTTTTTCGGTCGCGAAGAGCACGGATGAAGTTAGAAAAAATATCGTTAAAAAAAGTATCCCTCTTTCAATGAAAATTTTTAACGTATATATAAGATTAAAAGAGATTTGAAAGAGATTGTAAAATATATTTTATACGACGTTTAGTGATATGAAAAAAGTTTGTCCAACGTTCGGTGCAAATTACCTCGCTGGCGACTTATGACTCGAGAATATTTCCCAAGATAAATATTATTCCAGGGTAATTTTCGGTGATGGATCTCAGTTTATTGTTCAACTTTTTATAATTTTTAATTATTCCCTCGAATTATTGGTAGATGTGCCAATTTTCTTAAAATATAAGTACATATTTTAATCTTTTTAACTAGGAAATATATTGAAGAAAATGAAAGAATTATTTCTAATTCTTGTTGCAAAAATAAAACCTGGCACATTTTTTATTTTAAAAAACTTACATTTTGTTATTTAACAAAAGATTAATGTTTCTCGCATGCAAAGACTGTTAGAATAATCAAAACATTTGACGAAACGAATGTTATTTAAGCCTGCACATTTACACTGGAAAATTGGCTGCAATGTCCAAATGCTAGTAGTGCACTCGTCTCAAGACCCCGACGAACGCGCGTCGTGTTTATCCTATGTCTGTTCCACTTGACAACGCTCGTGAGTGTCGCTTTAACACGAGGTTGGTAGAATCCAACATTAGGTATACGCGAATGAAAGGAATAAAAAGCAGAAAACGTCGCGAGAGCTAAAAAGGATTTTTAAATAAATAATCGTAGTTGGGACCTTACGACAGTGTACCTTCGTCTGAGAGCTACATAAGCCTTCTTAAGGGATTGAGAATTGTAGAACATCCTCGACAACATGTTGGATATTTGCTTCTTGGCTATATTTCGATGTTAAAAAATTCGGATGTCCTCATGTCCTCTCAGAATTATCTTGGTAAATATAAATGTTAAATAAAAAAATCAATAATCATTAATTTAATTCCTCTCTCTGCACTCTGTACTTTCAGAGAAATCGTTTTTTAATATTTCAAATTTCAAATTTTGCTAAAATACAAAATATCTTCTTTATAATTCAATAAACAAAAGAATCTAAAATTGTTATATTGTTAGATAAAGCAGCAATGGTAAACTAATTCTTTAAGTAAAAAATAATATTTTGTTATTTTTAATTTTTCATGTGTATCAAAATATATATAATTAACCCATTTCTATGGTTAATTTTAAAGTAAAGAATGTTCATATTAATGTATGCACTTAATAAATAATACATTTAAATTTGAGTCTTTAATACATTTTTTTAGTTAAATTATTAATTCCATTATTTTAGTTAGTTAAATTAACGACACATTGAATAATGGCAGTATAACAACTTATAGGACAACTCCGGCAAATTCGCGCTGGGATTTACGGCGCAGAAATAAAAAAAAAATAGAAGGAATGGGGGTAATTTTCCCGTAACTGTTATATGCAACCTTCATATTATATTAGTATTGTGTTATGATTATTCAATTTCTAATTGTTAATATTAATGAAATTATTGTGAATTGAATCGATTTGTGTCACTGTAATAAGTAACACTATTATAAATTAAAGTCTACATAAAATGATTACTGTAGGGCGTGTAAAAGATTTAATAATTATTTCGTGATACATACGTGTAGTGGAATAGTAAAGCATGTTGTATAGCAAAATACAAGTGCTTTGCTTTCATATTTTTTTGTATTGTATATTCCACCTGTTTAGGATATGCGGCATTGTTAGCGAGCGGGATTTTTTATGCCCAAAGCATACAAAGTGCGCAGATTGAATTCAGTGCACTAAATGCAATAAATGTATTATATGAAATATGTACTTCATGTCATAACACTTGTAATATATGTAGAAAGATTGTAATTATTATTTATTGTATTTATTGTATTTATTATTTCATATACATATTTACCATTATTCTATTCCTTAATAAAACTTTATAAACACATTTTGTAAGTTATTATATCATTTTACATCTTATTTATATACATTATTTATAAATTTTTCATGAGCCGTACATACCCCCCCCCCCTCCTCTCCCTGAGTAGCCATATATCCCACTCCTATGGGATATATATACGGCAAAAGTGCAAGGGTTTCAAAAAGTTTATTTTTTAATATGAAAAATAAATTTTGGATTTCTAATATTTTTTTCATAGTAATAGACAATACAAAGTTTTTACTGATATAGTTCATTTACTTTAAACATAATAAATAATACTTAATAAATTAAGTTTTTGATAGGTGCAGCGTATATATCGAAGTTACCCCTATAATAGGAATTATTAAAAATAATTCAAATTAAGTAATTTGATATTATGAATTTAATACAGTATGTCATAAATAATAGAATTAAAATAAATAATTATAATATGCCAGTACAAGCATTAATTAATGTAGTACAAAAGAGTTCTATTAAAGAGTCTCGTTGCTTTATTTACTTCTTGGTGCACAAATTCTGATATTATATTATATGCTCAGATTTCTTTCATTCACAAAAAGCAAATCTAAATGATTGCATATAAAGCGTAATTGTTTCATTCTGAAAAGAACAAAATGCTTTTTTGAAGTTTCTTTCATTAACTGTGCAAATATAAACTGTAGGTACTCGAGAAAATTTAATCTTTCCGCATTGCTGCATTTCCTGCACGGTATCAAATCCCGAGGATAAGAATATATATCGGTCGCCAGGCTGTTTATCCCCATCGTCCTATATTCTCAAAGCACGCGATTAATCGGACGAAAGTTAGCGGCCGCGCGCCGCCCGCCGCGAGTTTGATAAGCACCGCGCTGCACTGCTTCCTTCCGTTCCGTTATCTAAACCGCGCGTTGCGGTCTAACGCAGAATAATATGCGAAACTTTCGTTGGAAAGTCCATAGTTAATCCGGCCGTATACATATATACGAGGCGCAATAATGCCGGCGTACTCAGACACATGCATTCATGACATGCTCTTCTGCCGCTTACGCTTCTGAGAGCTGAACTTTCTATGTGAAACGGGGAGCTCGATGTTGGATTTTTATCCGTCGGTAACTCGTAAATTAATGTTTCGAAGGGCGTTCGTCTCTTTAGCTGCTTGTGTTCCTCTATACACAAGCACAAAATTAAACAACACCGACAAAGTTGTATTTCTCAAACTTACGTAATACAAACATAAACTTACAGGTTTCAGGAATTCATTAAACTTTTATGATTCATCTGTAGGAAGTTTGTGCGTTTTTTTGTAACGTAGTTCACGCGAACCGAGCATGATCGTTCTTAAATATTTTGCGATATATGAATATATATATATGTATATTGAATGTTTAATGTGCCTGCTTTGCCGTTTTCTATGTTACTCACGTTCGCGATATGCGCGAATTATTATTGTAAACGACGTTCTTGTAATTATTCGGGCGAACGATGTGTTTCGAATTGAATTGATTTTTATTTAATTCTACTTGATCATCAGGATGGATAAATAATATCCAATTTTCAGTTCATTAATCGTATAAAGTGCTGACTCTGCATTGACAATTGAATTAAAACAGCGACCAATTACTCACCGATTAACTCTCGTGACTGTAAATCGATCTGAAATAAATGAACGTTACATTTAAACTGAATATTTACATTTTTTGTTCTGTCAGTTACAAAACGTTTATTATAATATTCCAGCTTTCTTTTACTTTCTCTCTCTCTCTCTCTCTCTCTCTCTCTCTCTCTCTCTTTCTCTCTCTCTCTCCTTTTCTCTGATAAAAGACAATTTTATATAATTTTCAATTATTAATACATGTTAGTACTAACATGAATTTTTATTATTAAATGAATGTAAGTTATACATGAAACGAAATTGTTACGATAAGATTAATTAAGATTAACATTTCTTATCAATATTAAATTTAAAAAATTGCAAACTTTCTTATTTATTTATTTATTTAAAGAAATTCAGAATGTAAACAACTCACAATTTGTATAGAAATGTCGCAAAAAATTAAAGATTGCTGACGTAAAATTCGTTCAATTTACAAATTAATTGTAACTTTATTTGATATTATCGGTAGTGAGAGAGCTTAGCTTAGTGAATCAGATAATTTTGTTCTAAAATCCGTAATTTTCTCAAGTTTTAAAGATGCATGCGGAAGTTTGCACGAAGGGATAAGGAGGCAAATGAAGATGAGAGAGAGTTTCGTCAACCTCATTACATGTTCTTACTGGAAATTGGCATTCCATAAGATTGCTGGTCGATTTAAACGGAACATCTTGGGCTTAATGATCCATTTTCTTTTCTTTCGCTTCTTTACGTTTAGTACTTTGTTTAGTACTTTGTTCTTATCAGTTTTCGTTCGCGTATTTGATAACAGCATTCTTTGTTCTGCACTTAGTTTATCCTTTTATTTATGTTTGTTCGCACATGTTTTTCTTCTTTTCCTTCCATCATTTATTAAATGCCATTTCAAGCGCTTTAATAGTCTATTTTAATTCTTATCACCAATCATATAATATATGATAGAATATTGCAAAACGACAAAATCAACTGCTTTGTTGGATAGCGCAGATTATCGTCGCGTGATTACTAAAAACGTATCGAAATTATTAACAAAGTGCTTGAATGCACTAGTCATATTACATATGTAGCCGCACATTGAGTAATGTATAAGTTTTTAATGAATTTGCACGAAATATTAATTTGTTAATACATTAATAAATCGATTGACATCGTAGGCAAATTATATGAATTTAAATATATATTTCTGCGTATAAAATACAAGTGGATTAAGCAAAATTACAATACGGTGATG